CTCAAAAAAAATTTTTTTTATCCGTATGGCATAGAAGTAATATAATCACTATAGGCCCGCCCTGTATGTATTCAATTTACGAGAATATTTATTAATTAATATCCCTAGTAAAGGAAAAAAAATAAATATGCAGGTATGTGAATGTTGCAAACAGTGATTAATAAAGTAAATATTCTACTTTAAAAGAAAATCTTCAATATTCTTATTTAACTAACTAGGAAATGTTAAATCCATATCATTAATAAAATAATATATTTTAAAATATCAAATGCAACTGTTATCGGATTAATTATTATTTACCCTATTGAATACAACAGTTTTTTGTGCCACGGTGTATATCTCCAAACAACACTCCCAGTCCGAAACATACCTAATTATTTGTGGTGGGGCGCGAGAGAATGGGAGCGACCCAACTAGTGGGGACTTTAAGTTGCCCATCACTGTACGTTGGGATATTTTCGTACCAAATCATTAAATTTCCTTGGGATTAGTTGAAATTCTTCCACACCACTACGACTTCGCAATCACAAGAAATGAATCATCTGGAAATAAAAAAAAACCCTTCAAAGAAGGCATTACAGCTATATTCAATCTGTACCTACTTTTATTTTGTCCGTTTCAGTTTCTTACTTTTATTTGCAAAGGATTGACTTAGTTTTCTATCCTAGGGTTCTTTATTTCGGTTATAAAATAGCCGATAGTCTATGTAAGAGATCCTTACATAACATTGTAGACCACCAACGGATGCCTAAATCTAAACCAATATAATTATACCATTTTATCGGGGAAAAGTCTTGGTATTTTAAATTGAGGATGTGATTTAGTATTAATGTGGTATTATTAGAATAATGTCTCAAGTATTAGATATACATGGCGCATTCCACGTCAACCGGATCAGTGCTGCCGCCAAAATTTGGAGCTATGTAAAAATACGTATGAGGGTTCATTTTACAGTTTAAACTGCAAAAATTAAGATGGCCATAAATTCAAAAATTTTTTATCAATCAACCGGATCAATGCACCACCAAGAGGGGGAGAGCCAATTAAGCCGGTTTTCGACCCCCTTCATTTTTGGCAAAAAAAAGAAAACATTTTTTTTTTATTATTATCCAATAACTAATCGATTCCACCCCAAACGGGATCTCCGCTCCTCCTCCCTAGTCAGTATCAAGGTCAATTAGAAGTCAGATTGTGCATTAAATCAATTTATTTGAAAACGAATTTTAAAATAAATTGCTTATTTACATTGTCACTTTTTTCGTTATTTTTTTTTTAATACATCGCTGCTATTTTTATGACACTAAAGTCATTTTTAATTCTGAATTAGATGGTATTACTACTGTAAAAAGGTTTTTAGCTTGTTTTAGCAATCATTTAAAATTTTTCCTGAGTACGGCTCTGAACGCTTTCAAAATTTCTATTGGAGGAAGTCATAACAGTATGTATATATATACAGGGTGTTAAAAAAAGAGTGTAAAAGATATACAGGGATGGCCAGAAGTACGGAATAAAATTCATCTTTTGCGTAAGTAAATTTTTTTTTAAATGCCAAAATACGTTAACTGATTTTGATTTTTTCCCATATTTCGGTTATATAATAATTACTTTTTCTTCAACCCCCTAACCCCCAGCTACCCCTACTTTTTTTCAAATGGCGTAAGGCATGAGGGGGCTCGTTGAAAAGCTTATAGAAAACCGAATCCAGCCATACCAAATAAACAAGTTTTATTTTTTCATTAACAAGTTTTTTTTCATCTAGAAATTGAAACAACTAGATAATTTACAAAAATAAACTCAGTGTCGCAAATGCTGAAAATGTCCTCCATTCACTATTTGGCATTCTCCAAGACGATAGTAAAAGCTGTCCACAGCATTCTGAATGACTTCAGCTGGTAAATTATGCATCTCCGCCCTAATCTTGTTCTTTAAATTCTCAATATTATCCGGTCTGTCCTGGTAGACTCTTTCTTTCAAATATCC